TATCCACATACCTGACAATTCCTTTTCTAATTTTATTTTTATTTTTATTTATTTATTTATTTTTTGTTCTTTTTGTGACCGGCCGCACCGTGCTCAGCCAGTGAGCACATCGCACCGGCCATCCCTATATAGGATCCGAACCCGCGGAGGGAGCGCTGCTGCACTCCCAGCACCGCACTCTCCCGAGTGCGCCACGGGCTTGGCCCCTTTTCTAATTTTAAGTATCATCATTTTGTATAAACTGACAGTACAGTTAAGGCAAAAGAAACTAGTTGACCAGCAAGGGAGAAAGGTACATGGTGAGAAAGGAAGAGACCTGATGCCTCTTTTCTATAATGGAAATGCCTTCTGGATACAGGGGTCCCAGCAAATTTGCTATAGCCATGGTGCAGAAATCCCAAACCCAGAGGATCTATGGATCCCCATTCTTCAGAGTTTTCTGCTGAGGACAAGAGAGGAAGTCTATAATCACTTGTAGAAATGAACCACAAAAAAGCTTTAGCTATCAGCTTCCAGCCAATTGCTGATAAAGCCTTGAATATCTAACTACAAGGTATTAGTTGGCCTTTGCTGATTATCAGGGAAAAAAAATCCCTTAAACTAGTAGATAAAACTACTTTTCTAGAAATAATACAGGGCATACCTTAGTTATTTCCATTTAAACACCAAGAAAATTTATTTGGTTCAAATCATGCCAATGTGCCCTTTTGATCTTCAATTTGATCAGACAACAAAATCCATGTAACAGTTACCGAAGGAAGATCAGCAAAAACAGTAAAGTAAGTGAAATGTTCCCACTTTCACACAATAGCCAAGTTAAGAGAGGATACACATACTGGGAAACTGTATGACAATAAAAAATGTAAATAGTAAGGACAATAACTGGCCAGAGGTGCAAGACATTCAGAAGTACGGTAGTTTCACTGTTAAGAAAATAAGATTCTTGCTGGAACAACCAACTTTGTTCACTTTTTAGTAAAATTTCCATACTAACACCCAAAAATCAATAAAATACAAGCTATGAGAACTTAGTTTATTCACAGAGTTATTGCTAAAATCTCTTTCAACATTAGACATTAATCATCAGTGTATGAACAAATGAACTCATTAGCCCAAAGCCACTGATTATTCAGGGCAAACTAGGCAGATCTGGATATTCTCAAGACATTTATCAGTCACTCAAACAAGGTTGTGTAGAAGATGGAGATTCTGATGCTCATCATATCTACCACAATAAGTTTCATAAGACTCACCTTCTGAAACAAGTGCAAAGCTGTGCAATTCTGCTACTACGTACTTCTGGTCTTTTTCTTGAATCCATCCCACCCTTCCCCTTTCTAATTCTTAGTAATTTAATAATCTAAGGACCTTAGACATGTATATATTAGAAAAAAAAGTAAATGTAACAAAATGTCCAAATGACACAACATATACTTAAATTTGGTTTCAAGCTACAAGGCCATTCACTCAGTCTGGATGAGATATTAGATAATAATAACAGCTCATCCTTAGATTTAACTGGGGGGATTATACTTGTAATTGACAACACCACTCACCTTTAGGACAGAGGCTAAGCTGGTCATGTGTTCGTTAAGGGCACCTTCAGACTCCTTGTAGGTCAAGCAGGTGAACTGGTATTCCTCAGGATCAAAGGCATCAGCGCCCTGCTGCTCCACATCACTGGCTACTCCCACATAATAGTCCTCTATGTCCCCAGGGTCCTCTTCCTCTTCCTCTTCCTCACAATTTGGGTCATAGTCCTCTTCATTGCTGTCAGACCCCTGGCTATTCATGTCCACGGACATCTTAGCATCCAGCCAAATTGTAGATCGGGAAAGCAGTTGCTTTTTCCCCCTCCCCCCAAACTTTACCGCTTTCTGAAACGCATTAGTGTTTTTGTCTTCTAAGGGAGGAAAAAAAAATAAGTATTACTTTTTCACCATGAGAAGTTTTTTTTGTTTTGTTTTGTTTTTCCCCTGACCGGTAAGGGGATCGGAACCCTTGGCTTGGCCTTGTCCGCACCACACTCAGCCAGTGAGCGCACCGGGCCTACCGGCCATCCTTATATAGGATCCGAACCCGCGGCCTCGGCGCTACCAGCGCCACACTCTCCAGAATGAGCCACAGGGCCGGCCCAGAAGTTTTAACAGATACTATTCAAGAATTAAAATGGCACAGCTCTGACCCTACCCCCAGTATGGCCCTTTCCAATCTGGTTCTCATATGGGGAATCTCACCATCATCCCCCTCGCCCAGGCTTATCAAAGGGAAACACCTCCTGAGAGAGGCAGAAGCAGCTTAATGATGGTAACTTCACATGAAGAGCCTGGCATGAAAGGGCAAAGCCATATGCTGCATGTCAGGGAGTCAAATTGTGATAGACTTGGTCCTTCCTGACAGAGTCCTTTAGGGAAAAGCACATCCCCACAGCTGGCTGCCCATAGGGGAGGCAACTTAAAGGTTTAACTACCAAAGTTTAAAGTTTTGCTAATCATGTCCCAATGAGTGGTGATACAGACAGCACATAAATAGGGACAGTTACTACCCACTATAATACGTAGAAAAAGAAAAACACTGTCTCACACACATCACTCTCGGATGTCTAGAAAACAGGTATATAATTAGTAAAGAAAAATAAAAGCCACATAGCTCTTCAACTTCCACTTCTAGTCTGCAAAATTAATTGATTTTTTAAGTTTTAAAGAGTTCTACTGTACCTTTAAAAGGGGTACTCAGAGGTAAGGAAACTGACCCAACAGTGAAGGAAAACTACAGATATGCTGCCTTAGCAGGATCAAGGCTAAGAAAAACCAGAATCTGGGCCGGCCTGTGACTCACTTGGGAGAGTGTGGTGCTGATAACACCAAGGCCACGGGTTCAGATCCCTATATAGGGATGGCTGGTTATCTCACTTGGGAGAGGGTGGTGCTGACAACACCAAGTCAAGGGTTAAGATCCCCTTACAGGTCATCTTTAAAAAAAAAAAAAGAAAAGAAAAGAAAAACCAGAATCTATTTAGGGTGAAGAAAAAGAGCAACACCAAGTCAAGGGTTAAGATCCCCTTACAGGTCATCTTTAAAAAAAAAAAAAAGAAAAGAAAAGAAAAACCAGAATCTATTTAGGGTGAAGAAAAAGAGTTCAAATTGGTCCAGCTATTGAAAAATCCTCATAGAGCAGAATGTTACTAAATTACATATAAATGAAAAGAGAGCACTAGTTGAGAAAGCTAAACAGTCACAAGTCCTAACCCCACCTCAGAGAAGATTTTGGCAAATACTCATTAACTTTTCTCCATAAGTACTATTTCAAGTGATGATTGGCAGTGAACAATATCAACTAGTAATTTAAATTTAAAAACTAATAGGACCTTAAAATGTAAGAATATTTGGATCCAATAGTATGTAAACAACTTACATATACAAATCTGGATTAAATACAACAAAAGTACAATAAATGGAAAGCCTATTCAAAGTAGATAATCTCTCTTTAAAAAAATAACAACAACAACAAAAAAACGCAATCTAAAACAAAAAGATTAAGAATGAATGTGTACTAAATATGTAACCAGTCTAAAGGATTACAGAGCCACTTTTTTTTTTCCCCCCCTGACCGGTAAGGGGATTGCAACCCTTGGCATGGTGTGGTCCACACCATGCTCAGCCAGTGAGCGCACCGGCCATCCCTATATAGGATCTGAACCCGCGGCCTCAGCGCCGCACTCTCCCCAGTGAGCCACTTTTTAAGGATACTATAAAAATATCAGTGAATCTAAGTTGATAACTATAAATGCTGAAATTCTTAAAAAAATCATATGAATTATAGGGCAGCAAAAGGTTTGCAGTTTGATTTGGGGGAGGGGCGGGGCAGCTGGCCAGTACTGAGGTTTGACTTTTAATAAATTGTTACATATGGTGTGGAACCACCTAATTAAAACTGAACTTAACCATGTATTTTTCTTTAGGAGAAAAAGTTAATCTTTAAATTAAAAATACCTGTAATTCTTGAAGATCTTTCAGGCAGTTGTCACCCAAATACGCTGTCATATGATTTCCATCTAAAATTAAAAGAAAGAATTATATATTTATATTTTTAAAACTGATATCCTGCTTTTGCAAATTTATATTTTTAAAAATATATTTAAAAGGACAAGCAATGAGGGATGAGAACAACTATTAAATTATTTTCTTATAGGTCCCAACAGAAATCCATATGTCATAATTATGCTGACAAGAGTTACACGGTCTTCTAAAAAAAGAACATATTGGGGCCGGCCCGGGGGCGCACTGGATAGTGCGCCGCTTGGGAAGCGCGGCGGCGCTCCCGCCGAGGGTTCAGATCCCACATACAGACCGGTTCCCACTCACTGG